AATATAAAGGTGAAAGTTGATTAACTTACAGAAATAGAGTCACGTTTCAGGTACACAGATGAAAGGGCTGGGGTGGAAGGAGGAGAGAGACTTTGAAAGGCATTTGACAGGGGAAGGTTGTATTCCCCAGGTAGCCCTGTCAAGCAGCTCTGTCGACAACAAAAAGAAGAAAACAAATAAATTGGAGGTTGTGTGAATGTCACAAGACCAGAATATAAATCCAGACGACATGGAGAGAAGTAAATATCAGTAATTCACATTCTCACAAAATGTTTTACACTGGTATCTTCTAGCTATGCCAGAATGAAAAGGAAAAAAATAATATGTAGGTAAATCTCCCAGACACTGGTCCGGCATTCACCTTTTTTGCATAATGCCAGCCCTTAAAAAGCCTCACTGCAGGCACAATAGGCCTACTGATGAAAACAAAGACAATGTGTGACAAGACTCAAGACTCCTACATCTAGAAATGGATCTAACACTCAGGGAACATTTCATCCCTGTCTAACTTTCTAACTCACAAGAAAGAGTGAAGCCTTCACTCTGAGCAGATAAAGAATATCTTTAGACAGAAAGTGGAATGTAGGACTTGGGTTTTCTTTTGATGCTAAACAAACTGTAGAAACATACATCTAAAAATTGATTGAAGATGATAGTAGTCATCTTTTTTCCCATTAAAAAGAAAATCATTCCAAGCTTCTGTTATCTGTCTGTACATGGACTAAATCTTCCCAGGCTCTTAAAGCCCACATGTCCTTTCCCCAGTGCCACCCCGTTCTTGTTTGGCATTGTGCTCAGTGATACCACCTGTTCACCCCAGGCCTGGGTGTCTGGTCCAACGAGGGCCTTCTTGAAAACCTTACATAACTGTTTTTTTGTTTTGTTTTGTTTTTTTTCTGTCCCATGGGCCTCACCTCACCAAATCTAATGGAAGCTCTGGCCCAGAATCCAGGAATGTTGTTCCAGATAGACCTGGCGGGTCTCACTGCTCATTAACATGAGCTCCTCCTCCCTGCCTGGGAAGTCAGAACACCCTGTCTTCCTGGGGCATCCATGGCCTGCCAGCTCAGGAAACGAGACCCTTCGTCTGGCGTGAGAAATCTGGATTCCTCCCCATGGCCATAAAACGTTCAGTTTTAAGTTTCAATAAATACTACTCTTCTAAAAGTGCCAAACACCAATAAGCTGCCTGATAAAGAAGTATTGTTCTAACATGTGGATCTGTAGGTGAGAAAAAGAAGTTCGCCCCTCCTGGAGCCTCCCGAGCCCTAGCAGAAGGCTAAGAAATGAAAGTGTGTTGAATGTATTCAGGCTTTATAGCAAAGACCCTCTACAAGGACCTAAAAGTGAAATCCCAAAATCCAAAAGGACAGTTTCATAATATTTAGACATGTTATGATGTACCACCAAAATTATAAGTATGTTTGAGATGCCTTCCGTTCAAAAGAGTCAAAAGTTTTTCATAACTGGGCAACTTCCTTGGCTCTTTTCTGTTTTCACTAGACTCTCTGGATGATCTAGCATTTCTGATGGTTTCAATGACTTCATGTATGTTGATGACTAACAAGTGCTTCTCTCCAGCTCAGACATCCTTCCTGAGCTCTAGGGCCATGTGGCTGAGCTTTGAATCCCTGTGGGCAGCATCACTTTCCACTCCCATTCTGCTCTCTTGTGTCTCCCTAAATGTCAGCACCATCCACCTGGCAGCTCAAGTCAGGTCGCTGAGCACCTTCCTGGCCCCTCCCGCCCCTGCAGGGTTCACCTCTGGTGGTTTTCAGAGCCTAAGGATTCTGTTTCCCTCCTGTCGTTTCAACACACCCACTCTCTCTCCCCACTGCTAGCTGAGCTCAGGCACTCACCATTTCTCCACAGATGCACCAGGGCCTCTCAGCTAGTCTTCCTTTCCCAATCCATTCTTCACGGCCAGAAGGACCATTCTAAAAGGCCATGTAGATTGTACCATTCCACTGTGCTGAATGCCCCAGATGGAAACAAAAGTCATTTGTGACCGACCTCCTGTCCATCTCTATAAACACATCTTTCACTGTTTCTTCTCTAATCTTCTGCACGGGGGCTATGGGAGTCCTCAAATGTTTACTCTGCATCTCACCATGCTTTTGTACCTACTAGTACTTTCTTTATTCTTCCTCACATTCCTCTCCTAACTAATTTCTGCTTATCCTTCAAAATCCGTCTCCCTTCAGGAAGTGTCCCCAAGTTGCCTTTGGGGTTGATCACCGCTCCTGGGTATGATGACAGACGAGGTCTTAGTACTTACATGGTATTCTAACTTCATTGTCCTCTCTTTCCCCACTGCACTGGGAGAGAGCTCTTGGAAGGCTGAGGCTCTGTCTTTTCACCTCTCAATTCCCAGAGCCATGCACAAGGTCTGGCTAGTGTATGTTCTCAAAACAGTTCTGTCAGTTGACTAAGAGAAATGCCCTAGAATGAGGTCATATGTTCCTGTGCACCTTCTTTCTGGAAATTGGCCTAAATTAAGGCTACAAAGAAGTAGATACTACTAAAGTGGGAAAATTTGTTCAAGCAAGGCACAGAGTCAGATTTGAAGATGTGGGTCATTTAGGCCTGATTATGGGAATGTGTCTCTCATGAAGACAAAGAGGAGAGTCTTGGCAGGTGCCCACTTCACAACAGCCTCTAGAGACAAAGACAGTTATATGGGAGAGAGCTGGATCCTGGGTACTTGCAGACAGATGTGAACAGGGGTGTACAGGCATGTGCTTAGGGATTTAACACTCCACATAAAAGCAAGATGGAGAAGCCTCCATCTGTTTTGTTGCCAATAAGCAAAAAAAAAAAAAAAAGGTCTTTCTTCCATTGTTTCAGTTCTGTAAATTTGTAATGTGAGAATACATAGTAAGCCCCTACAGGCCTGATCAAACTTATACCTCAATTAGATTTTTTTTTTAAAGATTTTATTTATTTATTTGACAGAGAGATAGAGAGCACAGCGGACAGAGAGGCAGGCAGAGGGAGAGGGAGAAGCAGGCTCCCCGCGGAGCAGGGAGCCCGATGCGGGACTTGATCCCAGGACCCCGGGATCATGACCTGAGCCGAAGGCAGCCGATTAACCGACTGAGCCACCCAGTCGCCCCTCAATTAGATAATTTTTAAAAATGAATTTTGAGAAAGAAATCCATCCCTGACCTGGGAATGTCAGCCATGTTGTGGGCTCTACACGTAACTTCAAGATCATTACTTCTGCATCTGCCAGTGCTTTGCCAAAAAGCTGCCTCCCTGGGTCCTACCTACTTTGTTTTCCACCCAGCTCTCTCCAACCTGTGCCATGCTCATGTATTTTAATGCTGCATCTCTCCCCTGGGAATGTTACTATTAAGTTATCAGCCAGTCCTAATGATGGAAAAGCCTGTACTAAAAGCAGGCTTGGCTTTTGGCTTCACGGCCCAGTAGGAACCTGAACAACTCTCGACTTGGGAACCTATGAGGGCAGAAGCAACTTATTGATTATGTCCAGGGGAGAATAGGATAGAAGCATTACCTTAAAATGCTATGTTGGCATTGTAAGTAAACAGCTCTCCCACCCTGTGGTGTAAAGCTAGCCCTAGGGGTGGAAATGATCACCAAACCAGTTATTTAATGACTTGCCAGGTGATACTCAGCCACTCTTCTAACATCTGTCTCTAGGAAACTTGTGCTTATTAGAAAATGCAATTCTGTTGCTTTTGGTTTCTATCCTAAAGTAGAACTTAGCAACATTTTAACCTTTCCAAAATTAAGTGTGAATAAATACATTTTGATTAGAAACTAAATCACAGTGCACTAAAAAAAAAAAAAAATCTGGTTTGACAAAGCAGTTTAGTATCTTTTCTCTCAAAGTTGTCATTCCTCCTCCTCCCAGCCCCCTTCTTCCCTTTGTGGACACTCAAACATGGGGGGATCACTTCCTTTTTCTCCCTGGCCAGTGTCCTCCTGTCAGTCATGCTGAAGCCACGACGTGCAGATTCTGCTGGACTATATACCTTTCCTCTCTGCCTCTTTCTCTGACTTTGCATGCGTCATCTCAGCTCTGGCCCCCCTGATATAGTAATTTTGCTTAGATTAGTAAAATGATATCCCGGCGTTCTCACCGCCAACCTACCCAACACCACTGCTCATCTTCCTGAAACATGTCTTGAGTCATGTCATTTGGTCAAAAAATTTCAAGGGAGTCCCATTACTTCCTAAATCAATCCTATATCCCTAGATTTTTAACTGACTGTTCTGCTCTATATTTTGTTATTTCAACTACAGGTATATATTTGCTACTCTCCCCGCCACCAGCCTACCTCTGTGCAATTGCTTGTGCTGTTCACCCCAACTACCTCTTTTGAGTGCTGGTTTCATTATTTACTAGCTTTGTGCTTCTGTTTCCTCATTTATAATATGAGGATCATAACAGCACCTACTTCCTAGGGTTTTGTGATGATTGCACGAGGAAACCCATACAAAGCCCTTAGAAGATCGCCAGCACAAAGTCAGTCGTAGGTAAACGTTCACAATCATTATCATTATTATCATCATCCCTTTCAAGGACCATTTCAAATCTGCCTCTTTAGTGAAGTCTTTTTAAATTGCCCAACTCAATGTTATTTTTTCCCCTTTTTGTACTTCTCTGAATAGCATTCAACATATAATGCCCTGTCTTAGAATAGTACGGGCACTTATCTTGGCCTCGACTGGACTCTACACTTGCTGAGGTTGAGGAAATTTTATTCATCATTTTGTATTCTAAAGGACCTCATACAGCACCTGGCACATCAAAAGGACTTAATAAATACTGGCTCAATTGAAAGAAATTGATTTTACTATTTTGAAAACTCTGTTCTTCAAGCCGAGAAAGAAATAACACATACAGATAAGTAAATGAAATGAGCGCCTCGATAACAAGGCTTTTACTGGTGAAAGACGCTGAGATTGATGTCATTAGGATGCACGACTGGCCCTGATAACACCCTTTTCGTCCATGTCCTTCCTTGCAGGTCTGCTTAGTGGCCTATCTTGGTTTGTTTATGCTTTGTGTCTCATATCAAGTTGACGAACGGACATGTATCCAGTTTGTTATGAAAGTAAGTTGTCATTTTTCTTTCTCTTTTATCATCACACAGAAAAAAAAACCCACAAGTACAAAATAAAAGAATGCTTTTTAGGGGGTTGCATATCAGATTATTCTAGAAATTGCATTTTTATGCAGGCCAAAAAAATGTTTTAGGAGGGCATTCATCCAGACCCCAAAGGTAATGCTGATTTTTTTTAAAGTCTTAATTTCCATGCACTAGGTTGGCACAGAGCATATGAAATCTGTCCTTCAGTGTCCTTACAAGGAATATTGAAAATTCATCAGTTCAGCAAAACACTTGGCCAGGGAAAAGGTGTCTCTGTTAGTGCCCACTTCCATATCTTGGGGGTTTTTAGAATATTTTAATAAGGAGGCGGTCTAAGTGTATTTCCTCCTGTAGGTGGGATCACTGAGACAGAAAAAGTACATTGGGTGTATCCAGATGATCTGTGCCAAGAGTCTGAGGGTAAAGTGGGGGAGGGGAGGGATATGGATGGTTTAACAAGTGTGTGTGTCTTTCCCATGCATGTATCTTTTTTTCCTCCATTAAAGATGGTGCATTTGGTTGGAACCATTTCAAGTACACAGCATTTTCACTGCACAGTAGAATCTGCTCCAGAGGGAAACAGACACACCCTTTTAGAGTTTAGGGAGATAAACACCCAACTCAGCAATCAGAGCTAGTAGAAATCAAATTCCTACATTTTCTTTCAACTACTTGTAGCCCAGAACAAAACGTTTTCTGTAATGTTAGTTTATTGAGGGTTGTTGGTTTTTTTTTTTTTTTTTTGGTCCATTCACACTGTTTACTTTTCTTTTGTAACAAAACACATAACAACTGGATACTTCTTTGTTCAAACAAGAAAGCATAGTGCATAAGAGTAAGTCAGCTCTTATTTAGAAATTAGGAAGTTGCAGAAAAGATATTTTGTATTCTAGTATAATTGAAGCAGTTGACATAAAACAGCAAAATGCTTATATGTATGAGATTTAAATCAGGTTGTAAAAGAGTAATTAATGGAATAAAAATGTTCACATTATTATCAAAAGCTGGCTACACAAAATATATGGTATGATCCTACAGAAATAAAAAAAATAGCTCTGTGCATAGAAAAAAATAGTTATCTGTGAGTGGTGGGAAGACAACTGCAGTCTGTAGTCTTTTTCTCTAATTTTGAAATGTTCTCCAATAGTTAGATATAACTTTTCTAATTAAAAAAATAAGGGATTCTATTTTAAAAAATTGATATAATTTCATGGATATGCCTACATTTGGAATTTTTACTTTTTCCGAGGGTGTTCCTTAAAAGAAGGCCAGATAGAGCAGGCATCAGTCCATGTTTACTTTTTTTGTAGAGGTCTGACTATACACAGCAAGGCTTAGTGATGACTTAAAAAAAAAAAAAAAGCCAGAAAGCCTAGTAAGAAATGCCCTGTTAAATTACAGGAACCTCTTTCACTAGGGTAAAAAAGTGCTCTCTGCTAGGTTCATCAGCTTATGTGAAATGCCCCCATTTCCCCTCCAGATGACCCAGCAGAAGCACCAGCATCAGCTTCACAGAGACCCCCAAAGCCATCTCAACAACCTGCACTTAAAATAAGGAGCAAGGACAAAAATAAAATAAAATAAAATAAAATAAGTCCGTGCCAATGTCAGCCAGGTTGAGAATTCCGCACTAAGAAGATCTCATTAGCTACCTCCCCCCCGCCCCGCCCCACCTGTGACAGGCACTGACAAATACGGAGGCAGTTTTCTCCTCTCCTGAGTGTGACCTTTAGTGGTGCTTGCTGTCAGCTCTCTAAGGCGCCCGCTATATTATCTTCAGGTCTAAAATGAGCTTCAGCCCGTCTCCAGGGTTTCCAAAGGCCCAAGTTACAGCCGACTTTCTTTGTGCCTCCACACCAGCTGGGGGGCGGGGGGAGGGAAGGCACGAAATGCAGCTTCAGGAGATGTTTCTCACTAGCGTAACCGCATTTGAGTGCCTGCGTATGGATACCCAGGCCTAAGCTTTGTTGGAGACTTTTCTCCCCGCTCCCGTTGCAGAGCCAGACGGCCAGGGCAGTCACTCCGGGGGCTCACCGCGGCTCTCCGCAGCCTGAGCGCGCGCGCGCGCGCCCCTCTCCCTTCTTCTTAGAGACAATGGCCGGGGGACTTGGCTTGCCCCTCAGGCGACTTCAGTCCTCGCTGGCCGCGCTCGGGCGGGCCTGCGACGCCGCCGGCGCGTTGCTCCTTCCCCCCTGGCCCTGCCCCTGGGGCCCGGGATTGGGCCTCCCGCCTTTCCTCGTGGCCCTGTCTTCTCGGCGCTCACCTGGCTGACTTTCAGAAACGTGTCCGGTTCATGTGCTTGGCAGCACTCCCGGGCGCGTTCCCCGCGAGGGCATTTAAGGCGCGGTCGCCCGCGCCCACGGACACGAGGCCCCCCGGCTGCCGCTGTTGCTGCAGGGGGCTCCCCGCGCCTGCCGCCGGGGAGGGTAATTAAGTCGAAGCCGAACCGCCCTCCTCCCCGAGCCGCCGAGCGTTGAGGCTGCAGCCGGGTACCAATTAGAGGCCGCGAGCGAGCGTTACATAAGCGCGGGGGCCCTCGGCGCCCCCCCTGCCCGCCCGCGGGCGAGACAGACGCGTCCCGGGCCCCGCTTCCATCAAGATCTATTTGCTCGCATTCCCAAGGTCATCGTGAACACTTTCATTGATAGTTTATTCGTGCCGTGTAGGTAAAGCAAGCCCCTCGGTTTTAAATTACAGATTCTCACCCAGAAGCTTGTTGCTGTCAGATGATTTAAGAGCCGTGAAGGAGAAATGCTATACGGCGCTGCAGAAGGAGCCCGCAGGCTTGGCGGGGAGCGGGGATCGAATATGTATTTATGTCTTAAAATGGATAAGAAATTTGATTCTGTGGCTCACACCCGTTTACTCGGCCTGATGTTTTCACGGGGTGGGAGATGCAGAGTCACAGTGTGTGAGATACGCCCCCATGAAAATGCATTCATGTTCAAAGGAGCTGAGGGGCATGGCTTTTGTTTGTGCGCAAGCTGGCTTCTAGCATCTTTAAGATGCTCAATTAAGATTGAGCAAGCCCAGTGTTTGTGTAAATGTTTACATCCTTTCTATAAGCCAAGTATGTGCTGTTACTCCCATGTGACAGAGAATAAGACAAAGCCGGTAGAGTTGATATCCTAAGAGTCTTGAGAATTGGCAGCTCTTTCCATCTCTAGTAATTTGCTTATTGATTTCACAAATACTTAAGTAGTGCTACTATGTACTAGACACAGCTCTAAGCCCTTTACCGGTATCAACTCTTTTGATGCTTATAATAATCCTATGACCATAGGCGCTATTATGATCATCATTCCAAGCTTAAAGGCGAAGAAATACAGGTACACACGGGATTGATTAGTTTGCCCTAGGTCCGTAGCTAAGAAGGGAAGAATCAGGATTCCACTGCGGACACTCTGGCTCCCCAGTTTATGCTCCTAACCATCAATCTGCTGTACACTTGTTAAATGTCTCAGGCAAACCTGTTCATATCTAAGCCAAAAGGTGATCTTTTAAAAATAGGCAAAATTCTCATTTCAGCAAATGGATTTCTGTGATTATGAGAGAATAATATTTTTTGCGAGCATTCGAGCTATTTGCAGACTGAGAATGAGGGATTATTTTCATTGCTTCAAGATATTGTCCCAATGAATGTTAAAGAAATCTGCTAAGGATGTATGTGTGTGTTGGAGGTAGGAGTGTTATTGCAAGACCTCCTCAGTTCCATCCATTGATAGCAATAAAATGTGCAGACAAAACTCCAATTGGGGGCATTCTACTAAGCAGATGACTCTCAGGTGGGAAATTATTCCTTTAATTTGGGCCTTCCCTGCTGGTAAAGGCACCAATGTACCCACATCCCCAAAGCAAATAGTTCCCAGTTCCATGCTGCCTGCACTGGAAACACGGCTCTGATGGGCACACTTTAACCTGGCTCTTAGTGTCAGGAGTTTGAAGTCGATCGTCAGGCCCAAAGATTTCAGAACCACCCAGAATATTTCAAATATTCTGCCCCAGTGTTCCCACAAAAATAAACTCATACTCTTTAGCCTGAGCACTATAGTGTTTGCAGAAAATACGGCCACTGAAAATTTAGGGAGGGGATATATTCAATATAACACATTGAATCTTTCCTTTTTAAATTTTTAACGGTGCCCATTTGGATTTATCTGCTTCCCTTCCTCCAAGGGAGACTAAACGTGTTAAATAGAAGTTCTCCTTGTTGTGTCCCTGAGATAGAAGACATTGCAATAAACTGTTTTGCAGATTAAACAGGTGGGTTCCAACTGACAATTCTTCAAGTGATTTGAAGAGGAAGAAGAGTGTGTGTGTTTATGATGTCTTTGATGGGACGATCCAGAGAAGCTAGGCACTCCTTGGTTGTGTAGACATGCTAAGACAAGATGGTTTAGCCAGTGAGTTCCACCTTCCTCCTATGCCCTCAGTCAAGCTTCAGGCAAACTAGACACATGATTAGGGCACCAGCACACATGCAAATTACAAGAAAGAAAAAAAAACACCTTTTTAAGTATTCTATATTTAAGACTTGAAAGCACTTGAAATTGTCACTGTGTGGAGAATCACTCACTTGGAGGACTTTTGTACCCATGTTTTAGAATCTTAGATATGTGTTTTTATTTTAAATGACAGATCATTGGAAGTGGAGGGAGTGCATAATCTTTTTAGAGCTACTTTAATCTGAACCTGGACACGAGTAGGACTATCCTTACTTTGAGGAGTTCACATTCACCAGAACTGCTCTACAAGAAACTTTTGACGGTGGTATGCAAATCTCACACAAAGAACTGGGTTCAGTACACTAGTTCCAACAGCTAGGGACTCTGTTCCTTATCTAGACCCTCAGCAGGTGGGACCATGAAGAGAAATGTTTCCAGTAGGTCAGTGCAATCCCAGGAACATTTCTTGTTCTATAAAATGCTTTATGGGGCGCCTGGGTGGCTCAGTTGGTTAAGCGACTGCCTTCGGCTCAGGTCATGGTCCTGGAGTCCCGGGATCGAGTCCCGCATCGGGCTCTCTGCTCAGCAGGGAGTCTGCTTCTCCCTCTGACCCTACTCCCTCTCCTGCTCTCTGTCTCTCATTCTCTCTCTCTCAAATAAATAAATAAAATCTTTAAAAAAAAATAAAAAATAAAATGCTTTATGTTGTGACTGTGTCAACAAGCACTCACAATTTTTGATCAACACATTTCAGGTGTAAGCTAAATGTCCTGTTCAGGGATTCCATGGTTCTTCAGCAGCAGAGTTTAGATCTTGAACCTGACTTTTCCATCACAAGGCTATCATGTAGGCCAACAGTGTTCAGAATCTCTTGGCAACTGAAGGGCCATTTAGGGTTTATTTTTATGCTTGGAACTACAGGGTTATAGGTAGACTTGGGTTGGGACTTGTAGGTGATGAAGCTGACATCCAGCTGTCTACCTTCTGGAACCATAATTTTTTTTTTCCAGCAACCTCTGACTGTGGATCCTGGCATTCCTGGACACAGGTTGGCAGTCACTATATTGAACACTGTCATTTTTATTAACCCAGTTGATCAATCACTGCCAACTCTGGCCAACACAGTGTTTACATTGCAGAAACGTGTTCTTTACTTCCCAGTCTTTCTGCAGTCTTCAGATGAGCAGTTTCTCAAGTCAGAAACAGTCACAGCCTGCCTTTCAGGGATGGTTCTCATGCTTGGGAGTCACTTAAACTGGTATCCACATCCACAAACAACCCACAATCAAGCTAACATTGTTGGCGCAATGTATGAAATGCACCCGACATCTGTATGGCAAATAAACGTAGGATCAGGGCGTAAGGACCATTCCTCTGTCTTGAGGACTCCGTTTCTGAGGCAAGAAGAGCCCCTCCCTCGGGACCTTCCTGATGAGAGAAGAGAAAGCACAGCTTCGATGAATTAGCTAGTCATCCAATGTTCTTTGTAACTGGCAAGGTTCTCTTCTGCTTTCCCGCAGCTCTTGTATTTCCTGCTGAGTGCTGGGGGCTTGATGGTCTGCGTGCTGGCCGTGGCCTTTGCCGCCCACCACTATTCGCAGCTCACCCAGTTTTCCTGCGGGTCGGCTCTCGACGCCTGCCACTGCAAGCTGCCCTCCGAGGAGCCCCTCAGCCGGACCTTTGTGTACAGGGATGTGACCGACTGTACCAGCATCACGGGCACGTTCAAACTGTTCTTACTCACCCAGATGATTCTTAACTTGCTCTGCGGCCTCGTGTGCTTGCTGGCCTGCTTCGTGATGTGGAAACACAGGTACCAGGTTTTTTACGTCGGTGTCAGAATGTGCTCCCTCACGGCTTCCGAAGGCCGGCAGCAAAAGGTCTAGCGTTCTTGCTGGAAGGTGGGAGAGGAATCAGCCCACTGACTAGCTGAGGTCAAAAAAGAGAAAGGAAGAGAGAGAGGAAGAGAGAGAGAAACTTTTGACAGTAATAACTAATAGTTACTGTTCTAAAGGAATATTTTTGTATTTTTCAGGAAATAAAAGCATCTCTTCAGGTTTCTATAGTATTTTTAAAAACCTTTTACAGGGAAAATCAGATCCAAATTGACTTTGGGACGTTAAAGGAACACGGAACAGGGAAAGAACGGCATGCGTCTATCCTTGCTGCCTGGAATTTCCTCCTCCTATAGATTTCCCCCGCCTTCTGAAAGTAGAGCATTCCCACCCATGCAAACTTTCATAAACTGAAATGGTGTAAAGCGAAGAAGTTGTTTTGTAGAAGTGAAAATTCTTCCGATTTCTTTCGATTAGCGAAAACTGGTACTCACATGGCTATTTTGTAAAGCAAAGTGGCACAAAGCAAACTTTCGGAAAGTGGGGGAAACCTGTCTTCATTTTATTCATCATTTGTACAATCTTCTTTCCTGTGAGTTCAGTTTATAGCGTGAATTGGCATTTCAGGCTCACTTGCTAAATTATGCCGTCTTTTCCAGAATTTTCCACCCACACCCCCACCTTATCTCCACTGTCTTAGAGAAAGGCAGGGGGTGGGGAAGAGCTGAACAGCCAGGTTGAGTCTCTATTTTCCCTGGTAGAGATGTCTCCAAGGCATGAAACAGCTTGAAGGTGCCGAGTAGAAAAGGGAGAGACTTCGCAAAGGTTGAATAATTATAAACACCTGGGCTGGGGCCAAGGCCCTTTTCCCCTCAGCCCCCTTAGTTTGGCTCTGCAAGTGGATCCCTAACTAAATGCTTTGGATGATTGTCTGCTTCTCAATAATTGAAAGTTGGTGGTAGTTGTATTCTTAATGATGTAGAAGGCTCAAAAATAATTACATTATGCTTCTATTCTATCATCTAAAACAAATCATTAAAACTAATTTCTACCTAATTGTTAATTATAATTATGCTCCGAAGCCTACTTAATGAGCCCTGGCTGTTCTTACATAGCACCATCAGAGAAATTACTCTCACAAGAGAGGAGGCTTAAAGATTCTTTCTTCTGAAAGCCAAGCTTTACAAGGGAGAAGAGAAAAGTTTTTTATTAATAGCTCAGGTTAAAAATACTCATTTAAACAAAAACAAGAGCATTTGTAATGGGCAATGTTTGTACAAATAGCACATTTGTGATATGTTGTGAAGTATCTCTCTTGGCAGCTAAGTACTTTTGAGGAAGATTGGGAATGCCAATGCGTTCCATTCATAAAAGTGTATCTGATATGTTATCCTATTATTGACTTCTATGCACAGTCCACCCAGAGACTTCAACTCCTGTTTTGAAGTCCTGACTTGAGCATCTGCCCGCTGACGTGGAAAGTAGTTTTTATTTTGTTTTGTTTTTAAGTTACCGCGACTTTGAAAAAAAGCACAAGTACCCTATGATGGGAGTCTTCTCTCTCTTATTATCAAGTTCTGAACAATATCCATGTCTTAAGGACGGAGCTCAGAATGCAAATTCATGCAGCATAAATGTTATCAAGATCTTTCTCTACTGGCATGCTCTATTGAAATCAGAGATTCAAGATAATAATGGAGATGAATTTGCCTCTCCACATTGCCTATTGATAGACTCCACTAGTCATGAATTTCAAACCTAAAAGAAAAGCATTTTCTTGTTTGCCTTAGAAGATAGTCGAACAATCCCATTGATTGCGACAGTGGTGTCAGTTTCTACACAATATAAATATCCAAGTAAAAAGAAAAACATTAAGTCGGTAAGTTGGAGGGTTGTAAATAGCTTTTATGTTCCCCAGATAAAACACCTGATTAACAGATGTGAAAATCTTTTTTATGTATTGACTCGCTTTAAAAACGGCCTTCCTGCACATGAGCTCAGGCCAAGAACTCACATTGGAGGGCTTAGTGGATAAAATCCTGGGGGCAGAGGTTTGATCACACACAAAAACTATAGCGAGAGAACACCAAGCATCCTGATGACGACCTGAAAAATACTCTGTGCGCTGTTAAAAAAAAAAAACAAAACAAAAAACAATAACTGAGTCCATTCTGATTTGGACAGTTTCCTACGTAAAGAAGAAAATGGCTGCGAATCTGAAATATTGTAGCTGTTCTGTAAAGGAGAGTGAGAAACTCGTGATTGAATGCTAATTGCTATGAATCAGGCACCACTGGAAGCACACCCTGACTTCCTTCAACAACTTTTTATAGCAAACACTACAGGTTTTATATTAGAAAAATTAAAATTCTATACAACACCAAGGTGCTCGATGCTTTACAAGTGATTCACAAGGTATTTCAAAGGGTAGAATAACTTTAGCTTATGTGCTTTCTTTCTCTAAACAGTGCCACCAGGCAGGACTGACATAACTTTGATAATAATCAGTATATATATATATGTATATGTATACATACATATATATATATACAAACATACATGCATATATATAAATTGGGGATTTTGCTATTGTGTAATTAAACCATTATTAAATCTCCGAAGGAAAAAAAACAATCATAAGTAAAAGAAGGAACAAATAAAACAGGAAAGAAACCAAGAGAGGAGTCCTGGGCTGTGAACTCACTGAGTATTGATACATGTAAGAAATGTGTTGCATGAATAACAAACTGCTTTGCCCTGGATTTAAAGTATTTTGAGGTTGTGTTTTGCAAATATTGAAGTTACAATAATGGCAACAGAAAAGGAACAGATACACAGCTTTACACTTAGCAAAATGTTACATTTAAAAACTGACAAGGAGCCAAGATGGTGACTGTCTCTTCTAAACCATAAAACAGTAAGATTTGTGCAATCCTCCTCCTCTTCCACCTCCTTCAGGAGAATGAAATGAATCAAGACTTTGGAAAGGGGAAACTGCCGGGACTTGGCAGTACTTGAAATAGGAGGAATACAGCAGCCTAAATGTACAGACGTTGTCACCGAGCCCACTAGATCGGTCTGTGCCTTCACGTGACCACCATCTGTGCCTCCCTCGCTCTGTCCAAATTTGTGGAGGCAGCTCCTTGGAGCCGAGCCTAAAAATATAGCTACACCAGGCCCTAGAAACTGTAGTCAAGTAACAGGCCTGACTTTTGCCCCCCTCTTTGAATTAAACGTCTATATGATCTCTTTGGAGGGGTTCTGACAGGGAGGACCCATTATATGTGTGTTTTCTATTCACAGCCGGGACATCAGAATCTCTAAATACTCTTGTTCTTCCCCTCCTTGCATGCGCTGTATCTGGAATATGTTTATAGATTTTTAGTAAAGGGTGGGCAGAGGGTATCCAAGGAAGGTTCTGGAGGACAACGGTGGGGCGCTTATTTAATCAGGAACAGACTTCGAAGTTGCCCTGAAAAACCAATCCTAACCTGTCATGAAGCCCACCTTTCCGTTTTCCAGTGACTGCCTCTGAGCTATTGCTAGGTCGCCATTAACTTCTGTCAGTCGTGCTGGCTGTCGGTTTTTACTGTACTCTAAGACCTCGGTCATATTTCTGGATGTACACGGGGTCTTCAGGACAGTGTTAAAAGGAGCTGCTGCCAAATAGATTGACTCCCAGTGGAAACATTTGTTTGGCTGCAGGCTCAGTGTTTCAGCCTGTGAAATGGATACCTTGATTCTTTTCCTCTGATTTTCTAGTACTTTATTATCTCAAATGATCATCTCCTTCAAAAATATTGGTCTGCATTTTGGTGTTGCGATTGCATTTTTCTGGTGTTGATGAAACAGTGAATAGAAAACAAAGTGCTTTCTACATGTTTGAGGTGGTTGTTTTTCAACGGGATGCACATATGCAGATTTTCTTTGTTAATAAAATTTTCATAATCTCTGAAAACACCTTGTTTGGATGTGTTTTGAAGTACATTACACATGAACTTGCATACATAAAATCTCTCAGATGAGTGTTGGCTTCAAAGTTCCGGTTTGGGGATAGATGCGAACTAATGTTCATTTTGACTCCTTTGTTCCAGGGACTGTCTCTGTTTTGGTACAGGGCACCCACTGTGCAAGTCAAGGTTATAAATGCTCCCCGGGCCAGAGAGAGCCGGAGCTGAAAAAAATCTTGTAGAAAGTACTTGGAATGCTGATTCTTAATTTGTATCTATTAATGTCAGTAAAGCTTGGCCTAGAGAAAGGAATACATGTTTGGGTGCCACATGTTCAATCATATCCTACATTTAATTATACAGGAAAACAGACGGCCCAATTCCATTCCAACTCTGAATGCAAGGACTGCTTCTTACGAACTCTGAGGCAATTTAAATAGTTGATGATACCGTACAATGCAGTGGTCCTTTCTGTTTATTCGAGTTAGAAAAGCTTGTAGAATGGAAGAAGAATGGAATCATGACTTAGGATACACTCTCTGAGGTGGATTTCCTATCCTTAGTGTTAGGGCTGCAGGTCCTAGGGGTGGAAATCTGACAGCCACTTTCTGGCTGTGTGACTTTTGACAAACCATTTCATGTTTAGTTTCCTCATTTACAGAGTGGAGAAAAACATAACTGCCTCACAGTACCAAGGGGGAAAGTTAAATGAAATAGCACTTAGCAAAGTGACTGGTTCAGAGAGAGCTTAAGAAACATTTGGTTTGGGCGCCTGGGTGGCTCAGATGGTTAAGCGTCTGCCTTCGGCTCAGGTCATGATCTCAGGGTCCTGGGATGGAGTCCCGCATCGGGCTCCCTGCTCCTTGGGAGCCTGCTTCTCCCTCTGCCTCTCTCTCTCTCTCTCTCTGTCTCTCATGAATAAAATAAATAAAATTAAAAAAATATATTAAAAAAAAAAAAGAAAGAAACATTTGGTTTCTTCCATCCTTAGCTGGGTTCTGCATAGCCTGTCCCGCCTCTCCTGTCCCCACATCCAACTAGAAACATAGCTCTGCTTTGCTACCCCCTTCTTTGACTCCCTTTTTATAAGCCAGGAACATTATCAAAGGGACTGCCAACAGAAATTCTGCTTTTAAAGTAAGATAGCGCCAACTCTTACGGATGATAGCACACAGAATTATGTGCTGGCTGGATCCCTATTTGTTGGTTTACACAGCTGGGTGTTTCCCAAATGGGGCCATCTTTTCTCAGATCTTCTCTCAGGGAGAAGTAGAAGCTGAGGCATTTCTCCTGATTTTCATGTCACTTCGAATTTAGTTTGATAGAAGTGTGCTTAACCCCAACATTTTAAAATGAAACTTTATTGAGCTTTCGTACATTATCAGTCCCCTGTATTTTAGGTTGTGATGTGCAACCCCTCATTTATTTAAAAACAAACCATCAACCACCTTTGGTATGCTTGACTCTGTGGGTCACTGATTCTCATTCAAGAATCATAAAAAGGTCTATTTTTGAGCATAGTCAGTAAATACCACCTAGAGCTTCATTCTCCAGGTTAGGTACGAGAACATTCATACGAATCTTTAAATCTGTGGCAAGTTATTAAAATCATACAGTCAGAAATCTACTTCCTCCCTTGATGGAGTCTATCTCTCTTTGTAATTCATAATAGTTATAAATTATTTTTTTTTCATTTGACAGATTCATCTTTTATAAGTTAGTCTTTATGAAGTACAGGACCAATATTGGCTATTTTACTTTTAAAATGCAGATTGTAGGCAAAAAAAAAAAAAAAAAAAGAAACTGTATGGGGATGCCAGCTTGGACACAACACCTCGTTCTTTCATTTCTTTCCAGCACATAGTTATATGTGTTTCCTGATCCCTTCCAAAGCATGGGTTCTTAGAGGAAGTCTTTTTTTGTTGTTGTTTGTTTGGGAAGGTCATCAGAAAGATCCTTTAATCAAAGGGATGTGGGACATATACTCATCTGTTATTCTTGGGGAAAAAGCAGATAGTAAGGCCATAATCCAAATACACAGATTTCAGCTGAGACATGAAGTCTTACTGTTTAACAAGGCTCTCTGGCTGGCGCAGGGGGGATGCGGAGGCCTGGAGATTCATCTGTGGCACCTGTGATGGTTCTGCCCCTTCCATGCGGAAGCCGGCTGGAGAAGGAGGCAGAGGCTTCCGAGAGGGGGTCTGGCCCTACCTACTGCTGCCAGGAATTGTGGAGGTGGCTCGGTTAACGCCCGATGAGGGAGTTGAACAGTGAGATGTCCGTGGGCGGTTCCGGGGTCTCTGAACCTGGAGATTTAGGACTACACCTCTCTCTCGGTGTGGTGCTCTGCTGATTCTGACTTTCCGTCCAGCCCCCTTTTCTCAACAGGGCACACTGTGTTGTCTTCGCCTGACCAGGTATGACTACGGGAAGCACGAGGATGACTCTCAAGGCCCACAGGGGCCGTGGCACTTCTGAGCAGAGAAGATGCCTGTCATCTCATGCAAGCCACTCCCAACGGGTCTCCCTACATCTTCCTAGGCACGTGTTTTAGGGACTATTGGTGACCCAGGGAAGGCCTGAACGTGGTGTGCTGGCCGCAGTGAATTATCAGAGACAGAAGAAATAGAGTCTGAAAATTATGTGATTAAAGTTGTCACTAGCCTCGGGGCGCCTGGGTGGCTCAGTCATTACGCGTCTGCCTCCGGCTCAGGTCATGATCCCGGGGTCCCGTGATTGAGACCCACATCGGGCTCCCTGCTCAGTGGAGAGTCTGTTTCTCCCTCTCCCACTCCCCCTGCTTGTGTTCCCTCTCTCGCTGTGTCTCTCTCTGTCAAATAAATAAATAAAAAATGTTAAAAAAAAAAAAGTTGTCACTAGCCTCAATGGATTTTTTTAAGATTTATTTATTTATTTATTTTAGAGAGAGACAAAGAGTGGGGGGGAGGGGCAAAGGCAGAGGGAGAGAATCTCAAGCAGACTTCCTGCTGAGCATGGAGCCTGACACAGGCTTAATCCCTCAACCCTGAGATCATGACTTGAGCCAAAATCAAGTCAGATGCTTAACTGACTGAACCACCCAGGCACTCCTCAGTGGATTATTTTTAATTACTCTTTCACTCAGGATAGAATTCATGTATTCTTACAAAATAAACAATGACCCCTCAGGTACCTTTTGGACTGGAGTCGATTTTTAAGTTTTTATTATTTTTTTTTCTAGATTACAATTACAATTAAAAAGAGAGAGCTTACTGTATTTTAATATATGGAAGCTTAGGCCCAGGGACACCGAACATGGCTATTTAACCAATGGCTGGTAATATGCACTCAGGCAAATGCAGGAGGAATGACATCATCAACATATTTGGGGTCCAGATGAGGTAATCACAAGTGAAAACCTGGATTCCATTTGGCCTAGCTTGAGTTAGAGGAAGAGCAACCATCCTGGTGTGACCCTCACACCCACCTACCAAGAGATTTTAAAATTGCTTTGGACAGTTCTGGATAAAGTGACCAAGAACACCACCTCCATTTCTGGGATTTATATGTCTCTCCTCTCCTGGGCTCTTTCTACCCTTCCAAAGAGACTGCTGCCCCTCGCCCACCTCCTCCCACAGCAAAATCCACCCCTCTCCCATCCCCTGTCCCACTTCTATGACAATCAACTCAAGTATTGTTAACTCAAATGCTCAGGGTTAAAACCTTAAATAGGGAGATCCCCATAAATATTCTTTTTCTTATAGTAGGATTTTGCTAAAGATCAGAAAGCTTTTCAGGTCCAGAAAAATGAGGCATGATGGGGGAGGGGGGACCCGCCCAGTAGTCCTTCAAACTCAGTCATGTAGGTAGCCACCTACTCTGTCTGACCAGAAGAGTCATGGTCACAGAGCTGGTGAGACTCGGAGAACATTTCCCAGTAGCCCCAGCTCCGGCTGCGGCCTGGGAACCTGTGTGGGTCTGCAGCTGAACCAGCTGCTGGTTACAGCTGAGCAAATCTCGGCTCAAACTGGCTAAAGGGAAGCATCCAGAAGTCTAAGGGAAGGGGTTTTTCCTCCCACGATTTCAGAGGGCATTTTACTGTGGAAGGCAGAATGAGTAAATAAGTTAAAAAAAAAAGTAGGGGGGGGATGGTGGTGGGAAGAATTCATGCAGAACCTCTCTGCCCCTAGTGCCCGGCTCCCTGAGCATTACTTGTGACAACTCACCAAGGTTGACTAACTTTGCTCAGACCCCCGGGCTTCTCTATTCATCCCACACAGAACACCCTCAGAGACTGGCTTGGCTTCACACTGCTGCCCAGAAGAGGACGTGTCAGGCAATAAGCAAGAAAAATGCTCATTTCTTGTTGAAAAAGTCCCAAATTGTAACTTAACAGGGTGATCTTTTTTTTTTCAATTTCCAAAATGTGCTTTTCCCCCAGAGTCCTTGAGCACAGACCTGCGGTTTTCTCTCTCCTGGGTTTTATAGTCTATCCGCCTCAAGCCAAGAGACTTGGCTCTGCTCCCTTTGAGTCAGAGTCTCGGCTGGTAGCTGAACCCAGGAAGGCCTGGCCCCACATCTCTCCCTGGAACCACCAGACCACACAGCCTCCTGTGCTCAAGCCTTTGGCTGGGTATCCTGCCTCCTCTTTGTTTGGAAAGAGATGTCTTACGTAACTGCACAACCTACTAAATGCTCCATTGTCTTCCACTTGGGAGAGCTCAAAATAACCCATTAGTGACTTATGACTTATCACAAAGATAGACTCTCTTACCCACATAGCCACAGCCCCCATGGAGCTGGCCTCACCTATCTTACTCAGATCGATAATCAACAACAAGACTTAATGACTGTTGTCTTTGGGGGAATCATAAGTTCAGGACAAGGTGCAGGAAATACAAAGCCTGGTTTATCTACAGGTCATGGTACTTTGCTCGAGCAGCCCATGAGAGAGTCATTTGTAATTCAAGATTGAGACAGGCATACACAATGCTGATTGGATGATTCTTTCACTAATCTGATTTTGATAAACAGCTGATGAAAATGGAAGGTGTCTGGTCATCAGAGGAGAGATACCCAGGCAGGAAAATTAGCTTCTCTTCCCTCCCGGGGCAGGGATTCATTTCGAAGCTCCTGTTGAGAATCCCCAGTGCCAAGAACGGTGATCACTGCCCTGGACTGCAAGGGCCTTCGAAGCAGAATAACAGAAACCCATTGGGTAAGGTCTTCTCTTCCATCT